AAACTGCTTCCCAAACAGCTTTTTATAATTGTTTTCTATGTTTCTTTTTAATTTCTGAAATCTCACTGTTAGTACATAAAACTTAATGACCACCAAAACACGTGGACCATAATTTGGCATATGTGGTGAATAACTAGTGTGATGCTGTAGGTAGTCCAAGAATCTTACACTACCTGTTTTAAATAAATTTATTTTGATTTAATAATTTGGATAATTAATTATTATATGTATAAATAGTATATTATAATTGTGTGGATAAGTAAGACTAGTTTTGACCAGAAAAGCCTGCTCATAATGATGAAATGGTTTGGAGTATAGAAAGGTCATGTTCATACCATATTTTCATCCCGTAAAACCATACGCGTCTTATAATATTGGATCAAGAGACATTTCGTCAAGTATTCATGTAAAGTGTCTTCAAACCTGACTGCGTTAAATTTAACTAAGGTCGACTACACACGTAGCTAATTATCTGCAAACATAGTTCACATATAGATCACAACTAGCTTGGAGATGCCTCACTTGGTATATTTCTCAAATAATTTGAATAAATTTAGGCATCAGCAACGTTGGTGGTATTGTTGCTGGCATAGTCGGTGATACAGAAGTACAAGCTGGTCGCACTCTGTTGCTGGAATGCAGTGTGGCACGCCTGAAGGGAGGCTCGACAGTGAGTCTTGTTTGGTGCATGGCCGTGTCATTTTCTGCTCGAATTACATATGGATGTCAAAACGATGAAACGGAAAACTTACTGTATTCAATATTGGACACTGACATTATTCCTCATATAAATGAACAAGTTTAACGTATATAAGCGTATAACATGAACGTTACAACAACTACATTAGCCACGCGTTCAGATTAAAGGCTCTGTGCAATCCTTTGACATCCATTTAGTAAAAGATGAAGGAAATGACATTGAATAGAAATTTTCTCACAGTTATTATGGCTTCTTTTAAAATGGTGATGGTTGAGTGTGCATGTGTTTGAATTTTATAGGTGT